TGTGTTAGTGAACATTGCAAAGTTACTTTCTTCTGTCATGCTTATGAGGCAACTTTTGTTATGCAGAGCTAGGAAGGTTGCTGGGTATTCAGGGATCCAAGTGACATGAGGTGTTCAGAAAAAGATGGGCAGGTAGTGACTGCTAGCGTGGTCCTCTGAGACATAATAGAAATGCAGTCAGTCTGAACTTGGCTAGCACAGCATTTCTACCTGGTGTGGCCACCTCCTCGAAAGTACTAGCTGCTAGGGGAGAGTGCAATATTATGTAATTTAGACATACAAGGAAGTAAAATTAAATAGCCATGAGATGAGCATACCATTAAACAGATCTAATTTATAATGGACTCTTATGCAAATTGCCTTTGAGCGCTCAGCGAAAGAAAATGAAAAGAAATTAATAAGGACAATGTGGACTAAGAAGAAAAAAAAAAAGTAAAAGCCACTTCAAACTCACTGTCTGCACACCCTGGAGTCTTAAATAAGCATTTGCATTAGCCACGTAAATGTAATGAGGAGATAGGAAAACCCGTGTTCATTTTGTCTCTATGGGCCCAAACAGGTAAAACATCAACTGAAATACTTTCTTTTTTTCTCTCTCTCTTGTTTTTTTCTTTTTTTTTTTCTTCCTTTTTTAAATTCTCTGCCATGCAATCCTTCATTTGAAGAAGAGAAATGTGTTTTTTATGAGTACTTTGTATCAGAGCTCAGTGGGTCCCAGGACTGGGTGCAGTGACACCACTGATGGTGTGCCCATGCATCTCTGCCAGGCCACTGAAAGGGCTTTGCTTCTTTCCCAAGCTCTCATCCAAGGCAGCATATACTAAAGAAAAGACTCTTTTTGTGTATAACAATGTATGTAAGTATTTGTATGTTCAGAGAACAAGGCTATAAAAACACTTAAGCTGTGTATAACAGCCTCACTGCAGACTGAGTGTATTTTTATATTTGACAAAAGGGACTCATTTCTGAAGAATTTGAGACATCCTGTAAGTGGTGTCACCTTCCCTTGCTTTTTATTGTAGAAATGCTGTTATGCGAGCGCTGGGCTGTGGGAGCAAGGGTCCATGCAGTATTTTATAGAAGTAAAGCACTGGTCTCCTCAGCATATCTTTGTTTTTTCCCCCCACAGCACCAGGTTTGTGGCTGCACCTGTTTTATGTCCTTAAAGTAAAACCCAGTTCTCTGATGAGAACTGACTTTTACGCTGGTTATATTTTCAACCCTTGAAGCATTCGATTTCTGTCAGTGGATTATGATACTTAAAGCCATCAGCATTAATTATTACCCATTGGAGGTTGCACTTTCAACCCATGGGACATTAATTTTCCTTATATACAGAAAATTCCAGCCTGTTAGCTTTAATTAAACATTTTAGAAGTATGTTGCCTTGTAAATGGACTACAATTTTTCATCCTTTACCCTTGATATTTGGTTAGCTCTCCATGTAATTATCACTTTGTTTTGCAAGCATCCTTCAAAGTACTTTGCTGTTTGGAAATCCATTCAGTTCTTATGTGTTTGGCAGTGAAAAAAGCGAACTTATCTTTGTCAATCATCAGCTGAAGTTGTCTAGAAAGAGATTAGGAAAAGCATCTTCCAGTTTTTCTTGGTAAGTGAAATATGCCTTCACAGTCCCATCTCATGCCTGCAGCCTGGTGTCACTTAAGCATTTGTAATTTCAGCATGAGACCAAGCAGAATGTAGAGTGACAGAGAGGAGAGGGTCTTAGATATTACCCAGCGTGCAGAATGAGGCAGGGCACAGTCACAGTTTGCTGCTGTGCCTCTTTCCAGTCCGTCTCTTCTCCTGGCAGGTGCAGCAAATTTAGCTTAGGCCATGCCACCAGATTTGGGCACTCAGTTATCATAAGCCTTACCCTGGAGGGGCCACAAAGCTGGAAAATGCTGTTCTCTATCTGAAAAAAAAAAAAAAAAAAAAAAAAAAAAAAAAAAGAAAGCTACCATTACCATTTTATTTACAGAAGTCTCCCAGAGCATCACTGTTGCAGTCTGAATCTGGGGAGGGGACAGGGGATGAAGTTGGCACTTTGCAGTTCTTTGAGTTTTTCTGCTGCTGGAAAGCAGCTGCACTCAAAGGTGGCACTTTGTTGGCTCTCCCTCCCAGGCCACCTGGGCTGGCTCTCAGGTGTTGGTGCTCTCTGTGATTTTTGTCAGAAGACTCCATCCTCTGATAATATCTTACTTTTCTCCTAAACAATTAATAAAATGAAGGCAAAAAGCCTAGAGGTTTTAAAATACATAATTATAACAGTAATTTAGAAGTAGGGTAATGCTGCAGAAACCAATTACAATTATACTTTTCAGTAATGACTGACTTGGCCAAATGTATATGTTTTGTGTGTGTATTCTGTGATAGATTCCAAGACAACATGCTTGAATATGGGGGAAAATTAAATCTAAATGCCTTATGTTTCCATATTAGACATAAACGTTGCTCATCCATCTAGTGAACAGGAGCCTGCATTATATGGCCTGTCACAGTTTACATTTTGACTGTTGGGGCAGGCAGTAACAAGTAGCAGTGGAAGAAAGTTTGAATTGTTCTAATCTAAGGGATAGCTTTGAGAAGAAATTGTTTTGTGCTGCTTGGATCTTTCTGCAAAATGTGTTCAGTTTCTTATATCTTACAGATTTCAAGCCACTTGAATTGATTCTGAATTTTTAATGGCCCGCTGAGGTTAATGGGTTTTTATTTCTTTCTTGGTCTCACCTCTTCTAGCATTATGTGCATATAAATGTGCAGCATTTATTACTGAATGTACTACAGAGATGTCTTCTGTGCTCATGGATGCCATTTCAGACTCCATTTGGGTTGGCTGTGACATTTCAAATGGATGCAGAGCATCCTTGGGTCACATTCTACCCCGAGGTCAGGGCAATCCTAAATGTGGGTACAGGCTGGGCAATTAGTGGATTGAGAGCAGCCCTCTGGAGAAGGACTTGGGGTACTGGTGGGTGAAAAAATGGAGTCAGCGGTTTATGCTAGCAAACTGGAAGTCTGCAGTCCAGATGGTCTTCATTGAAAGAGGGGTGGCTAGCAGGGCCAGGGAGGCCACTGTCCCTTCTACTCCATCCTTGTAAATCCCCAGCTGGAGTATTCTGCTCAGGTCTGGAGTCCACAGCAGAGGACGTAGAGCTTTGAAGCGGGTCCAGAGGAGGGCCTTGAGGATGATCAGTTGGAGCACCTCTCCTACAAAGATAGGCTTAAGGAGCTGGCTTTGTTCTGTCTGCAGAAGAGAAGGCTCTGGGGACGCCTGATCATGGCCTTCCAGTACTCAAAGGGTCTGCAGGAGAGATGAGGAGGAACTCTTTATCAGGAAGTACAGTGATAGGAGAAGGAGTAATGCCTTTAAACTAGAAGAGAGAGCTTTAGATTAGACTTGAGGAAGAAACTCTTCACTGAGCAGGTGGCGAGGCACTGACACAAGGGAAGCTGTGGTTCCCCATCCCTGGAGATGCTCAAGGCCAGCTTGGATGGGGCCCTGAGCTGCTGGGTGGCAGCCCTGCCCATGGCATGGAGGGGACTGGGTGGGCTTTAAGGTTCCTTCCAACCTAAGCCATTCTACAAGAAAATGAACCAGAGATTGACTGCCTCTGAGTTACACTGAGTTTGGGTTTTGGTTTTGAGGGCTCAAAGCAGCCTCAGGGTGGTGATGAAGAATGGTTGTTTACTCACATCTTCTTTTAAAAGGAAAACAGTGTGCTGTGGTTGTTCATTGTGCTTGCTGGATCTGTTTGTGAAAAGACAGTCGTGTACATTGCCTGTGTCACAAGCTGGGTGTGATCAGGGAAAGAGTGCCTGTGCCTCACCTAGCTCCGTGCTGGTGTACATTGATGTTACTGACTGTTCCTTAAGAAAATGCATAGGATTTTTCGTGTTGGTTCACAGATCAGATTGGGTATATTAGGACAAGAGCTACATACAAATGAGCCTTTTCATTAAAACAATGAAGGCACAGAGTCTGCAGAATATTGCAGAATGCAACAGCTTGTGACAAAGCTCTAAAATCATGCCCATGTGTCGGTAGTATTTCATGCAAAGTGTCCACGTGACGTATCACAAGTTAGCTATTTTGAGACCATTTTGTTTACAGTTCTTTGGAGGGGTGGGTGGTGTCATGAAGAATCAAAAAATACCTCCCCATGCACGTATAGGCACGTAAACATGCACTCCCAGTCAGACATACCTGTCATTGCTGTTGATTTCACTGGAAAATGGTGAGTGACTCAGGAGCTGCTTGCAAACACCTCAGCACAGAAACATAGCATGCATTTCTTGTTACTGAGGCTGATGTTTTGTTCCCAGTTTTCAGCCCTTTCCATTGCTCCGACTAAATTGGGTTTTGTGAGGAACATGTGTAGAAAGTGTGTGTTCAACCAGCAGCTGATGTTACGAGCATTTTTAGCAAGTGAGATTTTCTGGGTTCTCTGGGTGACTGACGGGTCTCTAAAAGCTGAGGTGCTTCTTCTGGTTATTTTAGAGCCTGGTGATTGATACTCGCCACAAACTGTTGGGTTTTACTGTGAAATCATTACCTCCCATTTAAACACGATATCTTTTACATCCTTAGCTGCTTATTCCTACAATGTGCTGTCCCCTCAGTTATGCTGGTCTAATCGTTAGCTGCAGTAAATGGCATCCAAAAAGTGATCTGGGTTTAAAAGTAAATTAATAATACATTAGAAATAATTAAAAAATTTTTCCTGAGTGCAGTTTTTAAGCCATATCAAGTTCACCGTGTGCTCCCCCAGAAAGCAGAATGAAACTGATGGAGGAGATTGCTGCAACAGAGTGGGGTGGGGTTTGCTGGTGAAGCCACTGGGAGATATGTCCTAAATGGGATCTGCTGTTGAGAGAGATGCCCAAAATACTCAAGGGTTGTCCTCTTATGAAACAGGGCTTTGAGCAGAAGGTTTTCCCAATCACTGCCAAGCCGCACATGGTCTGACCCTGACGTTTGCCTCTTGTTTCCTCTGCAGAATCGGCAGACTCTTTGATGGCACGGAGCCCATCGTCCTCGACAGCCTCAAGCAGCATTATTTCATCGACAGAGATGGGCAAATGTTCAGATATATCTTGAATTTTTTAAGAACATCGAAACTCCTCATTCCTGATGATTTCAAGGTGAGATTTCAAAGGACTTGGATATTTTGCATGTACTTCAGTAAAACAAGAATCTGTGATCAAACCGGAATCCTAGACAGGGGGCACAGCTAAAATATGGTGCTTGATTTCAGGTACTTTGCAAAACTAAGTGTGGTGTTGCTGCCATAGCATCTGTCAGGCTTTCCTAGAGCGACATCAGTGTTAAATTATCCCCTTGTCTGTAGTGTAATGGAGCAACCTTGCCATGTTTGACCTAGGGAAATTAAAAGTCATAATATACTGAAGGAGACAGAAGGGATGTTAGTATCTGTAACCAGCTTCTCATGAGCCTTGCCGGTTACTTGCCTTCTAGTCTTCTCTTATGGTTCTCTTTGGATTGAAACAACTCCTGCTTCCACTCCCACACTGAAATTCAGAAAATTGTTTGGGAATCGTGGTACTGACAAAATAAACTGCACACATGGTAATGTTTGAGCATTATGTCATAGACTGTTTTCTCCTCCAGATTCTTGGTTTATTTAATCTTTATTAAAGAGTCTGCTTTTCTCTTTTTTAATAGCAAAGTAAACTTGTGATAGTTCACCTAGATATCAGCCTGCAGATGCACAGCTTCAGACTCTGTGTTCTTGCAGGTATACCAGGTATATTGGTGTAGCTGTGGTGTCAGTGTAGTAAGTGTTGGAGACAACAGTTGCAATTAGAAGAGATTTTAATTGTTATTTATGAATGCACATCAATGTAGCCAGCTGGGCGATTGGATCACTATAGGACATACAGCAATTCAAACTGAACAGAAGTGGTGCTGTGGAAGGGTTAGAGCAGTTCACACAGCAGTGCAGTTTTTTTTATCTTTTGTATCTGAGACATTTTGAGGTGTTTGGGGCATAACAGGTGTGAGCTTGAGTTCAAGACCAATCTTTGAATTTCTGCTGCAGATGTGTACTGCTCCCATGCGTGACAAGGGCAGACCTACCTGAATAATGTGGGAGTTTAGAAATAGCTGATAAGCGTCATACCCCTCTTTTGAAGCCTTAGAATGGCATTGTGCTGCTCTCTGCTCTTGTCCTGAAGGTAATCAGAAATACTGAAAAAGGAAAAGCCACTTTCCATGCAGTATTAAGAAATTATATATGCAGAGACCTTTAACAACATAAATACGCTGTAGCTCTGCTGAAATTAAAAATGTTAACTTCTGATCCTCTCCACTTGTGTTGCAAGTCACCTGAAACGTGTTTAAAATGAACTGCAGCACTCATTTTTCAGAAATGTATAGGTTAGATTACTTTTTCATTAGACAGTAGGAAGTATTCTGAATATGATTTAGGTTTCCCATGTTCATCGAGTATTCAGTCTGTAGCTGAAATTTAGGGCTGTATTGACTGTTACCAGCCTTCTTGTTTGGTCTTCCTATTCCTCTGCCTTGCCAAATTCTCTTGTATTTCTTTTTCCCTATATAAATATTTTCCAAATTGTCTTATGGTCTTAAGCCTAGATCAGTAATATTTGTTTTTTTATTTAAAATGCGATGACAGACAAAGTTCAGACCAACAGGTACAGCCATGCTTAGAAATGCATTCTCTCTGCTCTGGTGTGTGAAATGATGTAGTGAGCAATACTGTTGGCAAAATGGAGAGGTACTAAAAGATCCTTATTTTTTTTAAATGCAGTAGTATGTGCAATTTATTATGCAAATTTCTTAACCATTTTGCACTGAACCAATGCAGGCTCCCTCATTTACATTCTTATACCTGTTACAGTGGCTGCCAGTATTGCTGTAAGACAGAATGGATCCTAATGATGAATTTTCTGAATCCTGATTGAATTCTGTTCCATCTGCTTAATGAGGTCATTATCTTATGACATCACTGTTGGAATAAAAACAGAGGGAAAAGTGGGATGTGACTGCCTGAGTTATTCCACAGCATGAGCAAATGCAACTTCCCCCTTCCCTTACAAATGCTGGTCTGTTTCAATCAGCCGATGGTTTTATTATTATTTTTTGCTTGCACTGTTATTTTATTACACCTTCCTACACAGTATTTATGAGCTATGTCTGAAGGGTTCCAGAGCTAGAGCAGTGTTAGCCTGAATAACCGTATACATTAAGCAGTACATTAGCACTGCCTCTTTCCTAACTGTGCACAGTAACATACGTGTCTTTCAGGACTACAGTTTGTTATACGAAGAAGCAAAGTATTTCCAGCTTCAGCCCATGCTAGGAGAGATGGAAAGGTGGAAACAAGACCGGGAGAGTGGCCGCTTCTCAAAATCTTGTGAATGCCTGGTGGTGCGTGTTGCCCCAGATCTCGGTGAGAGGATTACACTGAGTGGCGATAAGTCATTGATAGAAGAAGTGTTTCCAGAGATTGGTGATGTGATGTGTAATTCTGTCAATGCCGGCTGGAATCATGACTCAACGCATGTCATCAGATTTCCGCTGAACGGATACTGCCACCTCAACTCAGTTCAGGTAGGAAAAGCTTACCGACCAGGTAACTGTGGGCTGATGTGTTTCTCTCTCATTGCTGGGAATTCCATGAACAAAACCAGCTGCTGGTTCTGAGCTAGTTACTTCTGTGGGTTAGGGCTGCTTTCTCATCTTAATTCTCACGCATCATCACCAAATCTCTTCGCAAAACAAGTTACATTAGTTGAAAACTTGCTTTAACACCCTGAAGTGGGGCATCTTGGTGGGACTTTGGCCTTTCAATGGGACTGTCAGGTGACATGCAATGTGAAGAATTCTTACAGAGCACTACAGGGGAAGTTAACACAAGTGTGGTAAAACTGGTATATAATTTTCCCAGTGGAAAAAAGTTCACACCCATCTGCAACTAGTTAGCACATCATGCACAACCAGCACTTTGGAGTGAAATGCTTTTTCATGGCTGGGTAGTCATTTTCCAAGCCATACTATGATTCTATGATGGTCTTTGGTTTAGCTGCACCTCCTTACGCTCCACACTCATGAGCAAGTTCTTACCTGAAGGAGCATTGCCATCTGAGCTTGACATCTTCCTGCTACCGAGTCCTGCCTCCAGGTAGCAAAATTCTGTCCCCCTTTTCTGATGCAGAGGAGGGCTGAGCATGGCAGCACGTGCTGAAGGCTTGTGTGGTGCTGCATATGTGCTACTGCAACACAGGAATACAGACAGATCTATCTGAACTATCGAGATGTGGTTAATGCATGCTACAGTCAGACAGTTGTGCCTCTTACTGGCCCCATGGTCATACTGAAACATCAAAGCTCTTTTGTCATAGTGACTAATGCAAATTTAGAACACCGCTACATGCAAGATTGTAACTGAAAAGGGATATGAATTTCAAGGAGAGTTGTCTAGCCACATGTTGTATGAGAGTTGTCAAAGCAATTTGTCCTTTAGCAGTTCAGCATTTGTCCCGATATTTATGTTTTTATCACACAAATAAGAATTTCCAAGCCTATTTCATGATAAAAAGTAAAAATGGCAACACGTACATAGACTTCAAGACAGATGATGATCCCATGCTGATGATGCCACATCTTCCATTTTTGGTGGCCATAATCATCTCCCCATTCCCAAAACAGTGTGATGTAGGACAGGGACTATTTGCAGACCTTGAGAAGGAGACGTAGACTCAGTGATTTGCCCAAGGCTGAACTAGATTCCTGACCCATTGCACTTTTTCCCAGGACCTAATTTCTCCTGCTGTATTTTCCAGTGGCTTGCATTGAGACATACTTGGGGAATGTAGACTTAATGTTGTTAAAAGCTAAGGATCACGTTAAACAGAAATTGCTCTGAAGTTTTGATGTTTGTTCTTCTTTCAGGGCTTCTTTCCACCTCCTACTTCTTGAGATTTGTCTGCTCTTTAATTAACAGTATTTTGGAAAGACATTTGCTGACCTGAAGCAGTGCATGTAAAAGCATGGCATGTCTTGTAGTTCCGAGCATTTTAAAACCCAACTTGCTCCTCCATCTTCCCCAACCCTCCCCTTGCAAGCCAATGTGCTAATTGTTGGTACAGTGGGACAAACACTGTATTCCCCTGCCTTCAGGTGTGTGAAGAGAGCAGTGAGAGCAGTTGGTAGCAGAAGGGAACCCTGCAAGTGTCCCTACTTCAGCTAAACATCAGTGGGGTATTGTCGGTATTGTCCTTCTGGACAGAAGTCCCATGTCTCTTACTGGTGAGAGACAATAAAGCCCTGGCAGCAGAAGAGATAGGCATGGGAAAAGTAGCAGAGTCTAAGCAAGGTTAAGAGCACAGGAGTTGCAGGAAAACTTAATAATAACA